TTCTGTTATTTCTGGGTCGATGGTTGTTCTGTTATTTCTGGGCCGATGGCCGTTCTGATATTTCTGGGCCAACGGCCGTTCTGTTATTTCTGTTATTTCTGAGCCGATAGCTATTCTGTTATTTCTGGGCCGATGGCCGTTCCGTTATTTCTGGGCCGATGGCTGTTCCGTTATTTCTGGGCCGACGGCCGTTCTGATATTTTTGGGCCAATGGGCGTTCTGATATTTCTAGACCCATGGTCGTTCTGCATCTGTAGGCCTATGGCTGTTCTGTATATGCTGGGCTTAAAGCCACTCTGTTACGGAAACTAGACCCATGGCTGTTTGGAAATAATTATGGAATGTAGTTAATCATATGTATCTGCAGTTATATGTTTTATTATTCAGGTTAAACATTACATTATTTATGCACTATTATTCACCGAGTTCGCTCATTCTGTATTTTGTTTGTCTATTTCTGTAGGTAATTAACCGGGAGTTCAATCCTAACCTTTAAGGCTCGTCTTTTTCTTGTCAATTTTGATGCGTTCAGGCACCACCTGAAGCCGTGCATTTTGTAAAGTGTTGTTGGGTTATTGATTTATGCTTTGGTTGTCTTTCATTAATATTTTAGTTATACGCCCAATTGTGGGGCTGAGTCGAGGTATATGTGTGTAAGTTTTCTATATATTATTTACCTAATGTGATGTTGTGATCCTGGCATAATAGTGGTAACTCAATGGAATAGATTTTTGTTATCAAGTGCTTCCGTTCAGGCCCCATACGCTACATATATCGGTTTTATGCTTGTTTCTGATGTAGTCATGCCCAAAACTTTTGGGGGCGGTTTTGGGGTGTGACAAGTGGTATCAAAGCACGAATTGCTATCTCACACACGAATCCATTGAGCTATAGGATGTCTAGAAAGACTTAGGCATCATGCATAATATTCTGAAAGTACATGAAAAGATTGATGGCAACGTTAATTGTATATGTTTTATCTGCTAACTCTGATGATTACGGGCTATGTCTGTTGTGTGTTCTTTTATTGCCTTTGTTTACCTTACATAGATTGGTGACCAATGCAAGACATGCAGATGAGATTAAATCAAGAACATTGCACTATGAAAGTGTGGGAAGGATTTGAGCTGATCGGTAGGACAGTTTATATGTAAATGATTAGATGAAATGTGTGTTATCGGTTGTTACTCATCTGTGGGAAATGATGACAGTATAATTGGGCTTTTTAGCATCTATTTAAGTGAATTGATTAAACTCTAAGTATGGAATATTTCTAAGACCAAAGGAAATGATATATGTGATACTCTAACCTTTATGAATGATTATCCCTAGTTTCTGTACCTAGTATTATGTTTATTTTGATGACATTCTTGGAAAGTCCTCCCATGCTAGGGGACTCTAAGCCTATGTAGGATCATGATTGTGAGATCTCTACCATCGACGGTCTGTGAACGGATGGTCCCCACCGACGGTCTGGTGTATGGGTGGGTTATGTTTTGCCACCGATGGTTTTTCAGGTGGGTTGTCTAACCGATTCTAGGTCAGCCACCGACCGTCATGAACGTGCTTCGATTTTGGGACGGTATTTCCCTTGTTTGTCCAGAATGTCATCCTTTGGGATTGTGTAGATGTTATGAACATCCAATAAGCTTTGAAAGATTTTGATGAACTTGATTCATCCTATGTTTTGCTACAAGCTATGATATGCATCTATAATCTGTTTTGTTATGTAGAATCTGTAACCTGTAATCGGGATTCTCATTACGAATGGTCGAATGAAAGGAAGAACCCCACCTATATCACGTGTAAGAGTTTTGTACTCTCAACACACATTTCCCCGCCTTTAGTTAGGCGGTATCACCACATCTTTTCATGCACAAAATTCCCGTAGGGTGAGCATAAAGCCCAGTAGAAAATCCTTAACAGAATATATACATTTTATATAAGTCTCAAGATATGAAATGCACATGCCATGCTATGCCTATTTTTTAAGATAAATCACATTTTCATCTTTTTGAAAACCATCATGCTCAATGATGTCATGCAATTTCAATTGTTCAAAACTTAACAGTTTATTTCAAGGGCGGTAATCCCTAGGTCAGTGTCTGTAAATAGACTATACAAGTACTATCAAATTGTCATTTTTACCGGTATTAACCGGAAGGCTCAACACATATCTGCGTTGATTTTCGGTCTTTCACCCTGGACTTTCAAGCCAACTTATTCAATATCATCTACACCACCTATCAAGACTTACCAACGTATTTATCTCAAAACTATTTCATGAAAACTTGTTTCTCAACATTCTTTTCTCAATGCAAGTTTTCAAATCAAATTTTAAAGTTTAATGTAATCAAATGAATTGTTACGCCAATAACACAAGATAATCATAAATACTTTTATTCCAGTTCATCATCTAAGGAATAACACAATTCTCTCTTCTCAAGTATCCTCAACAATTAATTATTTCAAGACTATTTCAACGTTTTGAACAATAATTCTCATATTTCCTGAAATTCATCATTTATATAAATATAAACAAGAAAATTTCTAAACATCCATTTATTTTGACACACGAAATAATTACAACAATATTATTCATGGATTAAAAAATCCCTAATTCTAGGGTTTCTCACCAAAACTATATAACTCAAATTCTTTGAAAGAAAACTTTCCAAAATTATCTTTTCTTCAATCAACCAAGATCAAAACCCATAAGATCATTTTAAAAGAATAAGAAACAAACCCACTTTCAAAATCGCTCAACTTCTTGAATCAATAATCAATTTTCAAAGCTATCGAAAGATAATTTTGAAAATCATATGGATCTTGCAAAAAAAAAATAAAATATAACTCTAAGAAAATTCCTACCTCAAGTTTTGAAGAAGAAATAAGATGAAACCCCCAAAATCAACGGTGTCGAAACTCGATCTGCACCACACACAACAAAGCCCTCGAGAAGTTAATCAACTTTGATGAAAAACTTATGGTAGAACTCTAATGGATCTTGAGAAATCAAGGTTTTGATCCAATTTGGAGTAGGGAAATGTAGAGAGAAGGGAGATGAAAGAGTTTTTAGAGAGAGAGATATATATATTCAAAAGTGATCTGAAATATCAGATTCACGAACTGATATAACATGATCCGCTCGAGCGTGGAATGCCCCACTCGAGCGTCAAATACAGTAACCCAGTATTTTTGTAGGCAGGTCAAACTTTTAAAACCAAACATTTTTCGCTCGAGCGCATAAACGGCTGCTTGAGCAGACAAGCAACTTCAAATGCATTTTGCATTTTTGTTTTGAGGGCGTTGCCCCTCAACCCTGCCAGGACGCTGCCCTAGGACCCACCAAGAGGCTTTGCCCTCTGGACCCCCGTGAGTTGACTGGACAGCTCGACCTCCGCCAGGGCGCTGCCCTTGGAGCCGCCAAGGGGCACTGCCCTCTGGACCCCCGCGAGCTGACCGAGCAGCTCGACCCCCGACATACTCAGCGAAGTGGCAAAACTGGGATCGCTACAGCATAGATGTGGGCTTGTCAAAACCGAACCGCAAATTGCACAAATCTGATCCGCGACCACCCCTACCAAACACCCCTATAGTATTGTTCAAATTTGATCTATGTAACACTATTATGTATTTTTGTAATTTTTTATTTTTTACTTGGATAAATTACAAATAAATGTTTTAAAATTTACTTAAAATATAAATTGCACCTAGTGGTTTTGATAATTTACATCTCATTTATTTGAAGTTTTGAATTTCATAATAAATAGTTTCTTTTATTAATAAATTATCAAATTAATTAGTAATTTTTAATAATATCATAAATATATTGTAATTAATAATTTAAATAATTTTATTATTATGTAAAAAAAATTAAAAATTTCATTTTTTTAGTTAATTTTGTGAAATAAAAAAATTCTAATGAGGAGATATTTGTAATATTTCAAACTATAAAGGATAATTTGTATTTTAAGTAAATTTTAAGAAATATATTCGTAATTTACTTTTTTATATTTTCTTGGGACTAAGACTTATTTTGAAATGTAGGTTAAAACTTAATTTTTAAAAAAAATATATATAAAAAATAAATAAATAATATAATTTAAAAAAATTAAAAAATTAATTTTTAGCCAAGTTGTGAAAACAAGTTTAAGCCTAAGCCTAAGAATCACGATCCCCTCCTTGCTTACCCTCCTTGACTTTCTACTTGCTGGGTAATTGGGCCTACTTTTAGGCCTAATTTTGATGATTCGAACGTTCTCATTTTAAGATTTGTTAAGTATATTATACTTGTAAAAAATCAAGTTGATCGGATATATTTTTTGATATCTAATCAATTTGATTTTTTACAGATATGATATAATCAATAAATTTTAAAATATAAATAGTTCAAATTATAAAAATTAAGCTTAAAAGTAGATCTACTAACCCGACAAGTAAAAACTCAAGGAGAAAAGTTAAGAAGGGATCTTGACTCTAAGCCAAAGCTCCCACCGACAGCACCGACGGCCAGATTGCGTAATCAACCGACCAAAAATCTGATTACATACATCAGGTACCATTTTAAGGTCAAAAGGCCACTCCACTACACTTGTTGCCATCCAGGTTGACTCTTAACTCTAAGGTTTGGTTTTGAAAGAACGTTTTTAGTCTTATTTTTAAATTTTTTTTTAATTATTTTAACTTGATTAAAAAAAATATATATTTAGAATAAATTTTTAATTTTTTTTATAATTTTTAAAATAAAATAATTATAATTTAAATATAATATTTTATTTTATTAATTTTTTAAATTATTTTAAATAATTATAATTTAAATATAATATTTTATTTTATTAATTTTTTAAATTATTTTATAACTAAATTAATTCCAAGTTGCCAAACGGACGCAAATAATCGTACGAGATTAAACAAACAAATCGGCTATCGAACCTAGGAATTATTTAACAGCGCCACCAAACCAATCAATCCATCAACGGGGTTAAAAACTTAACCAGACTTAAATACTACTAACCACACTTCCGAGATCTCGCGACTGAGTGGGCTCGCTCTCTCTCAATAGTCTTCGAACAACTCGCCATACCACTCAGGAGATATCTCTCTCTCTGTCTCTCTGTCTCTCTCTGAGTTCGAATCGAAGGTTGAGGTCTGCAATGTCAATGTCAATGTGGTCAATCACAGTCACAGGTGCTTTGCTATGTATTGCGTGGTTTGGTTGGTTAATGAGAGTTGAAGCTTCTGTGCATGAGTACTCCGGAGAGAAATTCGTGAGCAAGGGCAACGCCTTCGTCGTCCATGGCGGCAGTGAAGGAATCTATTATTCTCTTCCCACTCTCAACGACTCTTCCATCGCTGCCAACGGCGACGCTTATATTCGGTCAATTTCATCTCTCTCTCTCTCTCTCTCTTGTTTGTAAATCGATCGTTTATTTGCACTATTGTAGTGTTTACTGGTGAAATTGTAAGTGGTTGAGACTGTTTTCCGGTTAATTTAGTGTAATTTCTGGAGATCTGAGTCAACGTTACAGTAGCATTTGATTCTCAATTTCATGCCAATTAATCGAAAAAAATTTGGTAGTCATTTTCTTCGCCTAATTTATTTAATTTGACTTGTTCTCCCAAGTAAATGTTGATTTTTTTTTTTTGGGTGGGGAAAGGGGTTTAGGGAAGTGGATGATGATGTTGGACCATTCATTGTGTTCATAGATTACCAGTATGTTGGTTTATAGGGCAAATTACGCTGGTAGTCCTGTATTTTGGTCATTGTGTCGCTCAACTTTGACTCTGAATTTAGGACTTTGTCTCAATTTAGTCTGATTGATTACAACTATTAACATTTTTTAATAAAAAATACGCATATAAGTGGCAAATGTCATATAAACTTGCGCAATTTAGTGAGTTAACCTCAACTAATTTAGGGATCATTTTCCATCAAAAATACTAATGGCGTTATCAATTAGACCAAATTGATACAAAATGTAAAATTAGGAGTCAAAATTGAGCCAACTGAAAATGTAGGGGTCAAAATGACACAAAGGGCAAAATGTATGGACTACTAGTGTAGTTTGCCCTAGTTTATATTATAACTTATTCAGATTTGCTAAATTTCTGTCTTTAAATTTTTCATTGAAACAAATTAATTTTATTGAAATTGTAACCTTACTTGGGACATTGAACTTGGAAGTCACTGTCAGTGAGAAAATTGTTATATGTCAATCTATGCAGCTTCTTTAGTTAATTTCTAATATTTATATTTTGGGGTTATTGTTGTCAGAGTGTAAGATTTGAAATTGGAAAAGGATTTACTGAATATCTTGAATTGATGATTGTGAATATGAGCTAAAACATTGAACAAGAAAGAGGGGGCAACAAAAATATGAACAACTAAAGGAAACATATTCTTTTAGCATGCCACATATGTTACTGTGTTGATCCGTTGGACCAAAGTTCTCATGATTCTTGACTAATTAAAAAAACTGATAACGTCTTGAGGAAGGGGTGAGCCTTGGTGGTCGAGGTGCTACTAACTACCATCCCTTTACTGCCCCGCATATTCTCCCCCATTGTTTCCAGCTTTGTTTCCAGGAAGATCATCAAACTGCTTTAGCAACATCACCAATAGACTTGAATCTTATTATTTTCCTTTCTTAAATTATCGATTCTATAATCAGAATAGTTTGCAATGTAACAAAAGTGGTAAGCAATCAATAGAACTACCCATCATTACATCTGTTTCTCTTTTCAGTACAAATTACACTAAATAAAACTCTGTTCCTTCACTTAAATTGTTATATGGAAGGAAAATTGCTGAGTGCTGGTGAACATGCATGTAGTTTTCTTGCTTAATCATATCCAAAGTAAAATTTTCATTGTCCAAGTTCTTTTGGTTCTTTCTGAAACTCAATGCCTAACATTCATCAATTTTCGAAATCAGTTTTGAAAAGGTTATATTCAGGAGGCCCGGAGAGTTATCAAATTTCAGCTCAGGGGTAGTTCATGCAATTATTTTTGAGGTAGATGATAGAGAGACAATTGGAGGCTCAGCCTATGGGGGCCAAAGAGCTGTATGCTGCACTGCAGATCTTGCAAAGTTGGGTGTATGCTCACAAGGAGAAATCATTCATCGGCCCTCTACCAAAAATCCTGGCTGGCCCCAAGTGTTTGGTGCCTCGTTTAATGTTGATGAGCCAACTTCAACTTTGCCATCAAGGTCGATACAAATTACAAAAACTGGGATGTATAACCTTTATTTCATTCACTGTGATCCAAATCTCAAGGAATTGGTCGTAGAGGGGAAATCTATATGGAAAAATCCTACTGGTTACCTACCTGGCAGAATGGCACCGCTTATGAACTTTTATGGCTTCATGTCTCTTGCATTTGTGATACTCGGAATTTTCTGGTTCTATCAGTATGCGAGATTTTGGAAAGAGGTTCTTCCATTGCAGAACTGTATAACACTAGTGATAACGTTGGGCATGTTTGAGATGGCCTTGTGGTATTTTGATTATGTTGAATTTAATGAAACCGGAGTTAGACCAACTGGGACCACTGTATGGGCAGTCACCTTTGGCTCCGTGAAACGCACAGTTTCACGTTTGATCATTCTGATGGTTGCTATGGGCTACGGTGTTGTAAGACCTACCCTAGGTGGTCTTACATCAAAGGTTTTAATGCTTGGAGCAACCTTCTTACTCGCATCTGAAGTGCTTGAACTGGTAGAGAATGTTGGTGCTATCAGTGATCTTTCAGGGAAAGCAAGACTGTTTTTGGTTCTTCCTGTGGCACTCTTGGATGCTTTCTTCATTCTTTGGATATTTACCTCCCTCTCTGCAACTTTGAGTAAGCTTCAGGTATATTTAGTTATATTATTATTGTTTTATGGAAAAACCTTTTGATCGTGTTCATTATGTGGTCCTTTGACTATACCATGCTATGCTAGCAAAGACTCAAATATTAATTAGTTTGTTTGGAACTGCAAGTTCATACTTCTATAGTTGGGCTTATTGTGGTGCATATCTAGCTAATAATAGGAGTCAAATATTTTTGTTTATTAGGCTGTATATCAGATGGTATTTGAATCAGGTTAAACATACTCTATAGGAAGAAGAAAAAAAGGCAAAAACGAAAATGTGAAGATAAGTTCTACTTCATAAAAAAGTGCTTGTGGCCATTTTAATTCCTGTAAATGTAAAATAAACTGAATTGAAACAAAGTATAGCTAAAAGACTCCAACATTTGGAATGAAAACTCTTAAAAAGCCAAAAAACAAAAATCTTCTAAAAGGTTATCTAAAACCATGTCAGAGATTGGCACTGGTAGTAGAATACTCCTATAATTATGAACTCCATAAATCCTTATAAACATGTCTACAACTGTGTACAGTGCTAGTGATAATTCCTTATTTATTTCTTATGTTATTTGTGTTGATGATAGATGAGTTTGAACCTTGGCATGCAGTCTGTAGTAAGCTGATTTCTGATTTGATCTCAAATGAAATAAAACAATGATTTGCTCTAGTCATTTCTGGATTAGGCAGTAATCGGGGCAACGATAATGAATCAACTGTTTTATAGTGCCAATGTCAATGTAATGGACATTAGCTCTTGAAAATTGAAAACAGTGAGGAATCTTAATAAAGTTTACTTGCAGGTCAAGGCATGATGTGTGTTCTTTGTATTTTGTGCTTTGTATCCCATTCAACACTGCTAGGGCCCAATGACTAAATTTTGTGCATATTTTTCTGTTTGTGCCTTGGAATTTATATGAGTAAGCTTGGGCTTCATTTGGCCTCACTGTCTGCAGAGAGAGGGGAAAATACTTTCCTTTTATGTTATGCTGCATTCTGAAATGACACCTACATTGCTATTTTTATTGATATGCGATATTGGTATTGCTGCCTGAATTCTGATAAAATCCACCAAAGTAACATTTGTTTATCGATGTGATGTGGCAGGCTCGACGCATGTTGGCAAAACTAGATATTTACAGGAAGTTCACTAATGCTTTGGCAGTAGCAGTTATTGTGTCCGTAGGTTGGATATGCTATGAGGTAATTTTTCTTGTCTGGGAAATAAGGCTTAATTAAACTTCAAATGTGTTAAGAAATGTCAAGTGTTTAACATGAACCACTATAGTACAATGGAAAGCACAAAGGGTCTGTTAAAAACCATCCTCTACAATGAGAAGGTCCCAATAACATAGTGTCTGGCTGAGACCAAACAAAATTATTAGCATTTGAACCATGTAGAGTGCAAGAATGAGGGCCAAGATGAAAATCCCTGTGGAGAAAAAAAATGGTTTAAAGGCCTGCTATTATCTGCTTCTTTGTTAAAATTCGTTGCAATTGGCAGTCAATTTCTTTCATTGAAGTTTTTAAGATATGGTCAACCATTTGTTAAGTCATTTGCGGTTTCAGCTTAGATCAGATCAAGTAATTGGGAAATGATGTATTATCTTGCACAAACACCTACTTTTCACATCACTAGTTTTTCACCTCCTATTCAAGAAAGAAGAAATTTTAGAGATTGTTCCTCTTCCCACTTTGGCAATGTAATCACTATAGTATAACATTGTTTGTGCAGCTTTACTTCAAGTCATCGGATGTGTATAATGAGCAATGGCAGAATGCTTGGATCATCCCTGCCTTCTGGCAAGTCCTATCTTTCTCTCTGCTCTGCGTCATCTGTGCTCTCTGGGCACCATCTCAGAATTCAATGCGGTACAAACCCTTGCTTCTAGCTATATGATGCATATATGTTTGTGTGCACTACTTTTTTTTATGATGGCCTTACCGTATATTCCTTTTCGCTTCAAAAGGGAACTAATGAAGAAAAGAGAGTTTACGAAACAGATAATTGGCACTCTATAATGACCATTATCATTCACACAATGTCCATGTGCATCTGGCAATTAGAATTCACTATTCTTTTACCATCATCGTTCATTTACAGCCTGTTTGGATGGGATGATTTGGTGAGAAATAATGAGAAATGAGAAGAGAAAACTCTTTTCTTGTGTTGGTTTATAAGTTATGTGAGAGCTTGCGTTGGTTTATAAGTTGTGTGTGTGTGTGTGTCTGTGAGAGAGAGAGAGAGAGTGAGCTTATTTTATAGGGGTTTAATTTCTCACTAAAAATTGTGTGATTTGGTGATAAGCGAACTGATTGATTGTGTATTTCTATAATACCCAGATTGCCCATTAAAATACGAAGGAAGGAAAAGAAATCCCACCCATATCCATGTATCACATATTTTGTTGTCTTACTCATCTACACATAATAGCGAGAAAATACAATAATTTCTTTTCTTTTCTAACCTAAATGTGTGACCACAATCATTTCATTTATTTTCTCACCTGCAATCCAAACAGAGTGTTATATCATTTTTGTGTAGACAATCGGACTGTAATTTATGCTATTGTTATTCTAATCACTAATTCTTGAGGTCGTAATTTGTGAGTATTATGATTGTTGTCACATTAGGTTATAATAACTCATACAGACTTGAGTGTCCAGGAAAAATCTCCCCAACTGTCAATCAATTTTATGGTGGAACATAGAAATTAGCTGCAAACTCCTCGCAGAGGGCTTCTTCTATGTTATAAAAATTAATTGTCAATTATTTTCTTGTCTCCACATTGAATATTTTCATATGTGGCAGCTATACTTACTCAGGAGAAGCAAGTGAAGAGTTTGACAGGGATGATAATACTTTGACACTCATAAAACCATCTCCTATGCCTTCAAAGGATATTCGAAGTCCACTTGAAGTCGGATCAGTACACGGCGGAAACAACGGGTTATCAAACGGTGATTTGGAAGAAGACAAGACAGAATAATTTGAAACCCAACTTGGCCAGGTTAGACTTGTTCGATTGTGAGAAGCTATTTAACTCCGAATGATCATCGTGATGGATATGAAGTTGCTACATGTAGAATTTATGTGAGAGGAGAGGGAAAAAGCCATTGGAGGGAATATGATGAAGCTTTTTTCATTTGTTCTTGTTCTTTTACTTTTTTCCTTCCTCTAATTCTTTTTATCTTGTTTAATTGGATTGTAGTGTACTGTGTGGTTCCAAATGTATCATATGTTGCATATAGTTTAGGCTCATCTTTGGATATAGTTGGAAGACAAGTGGTATTTTTAATATTATAAGCCATATTAGTGTGCTTTCTATTCTGTTTAATTTTTTTGGGCAAATTACACTTCAGCCCTTCAACTATAGGACATTGTCACTTTACCCTCTCGAATAAAAGCGGTGACATATTGCTTCTCTAATTTTCTGATTTGTTTCACTCTTCATCTTCTCTTAACATTTGGTCGCGGAAATAGGAGAGAAAAGTAGCATGTGAGTTGTACATGTTAATTTTATGACCAAAATATTTGCTCAAAAAATAATTTATATGCATATATGTGAGGGATCAAATGTATATATTTACCTCTCTGGTCATAAATATAGAACATGCATATATTAACTCATATTTTCTTCATAAAAGATATATACATTTCTCACATATATATGAATAAATTAGTTGTTAGTTTGATCATAAAATTGACATTTACTGCTCACATGCTGCTTTCCTTTAAGCACACTCTGTGCTATTTCTTCCTATTCAAAGATGTAAAGTTTTCCTCCTTTCTTTTTCTATTGCCCTTTTATTCCAAGGCAAGGAGTGATATAGGGCTATCGAAAATCATCCCCTTGCAGGTTATCTTCATGTTACAAGCCTTCACTACCCTACGCTATAGCTTTTTGCACTCTTTCACCATGTTTAAGGATCTATCTCTTTCTCTGACCTATAGGACAAAAGGAACTTGACTAGTGGTGCGTAACAATGAACAACTTGCGACTACTTCACTCGAGTCCTAGTACTGATTTATGCACTTTGCTCCTTGTTAGCTGATATAGACCTTGCTAATTAGCTGATGATTAAGCTAAAACTAAAACTAAGGGAGCTGGGCGAGTCTAGCTTAGAACTAGGTAGGGCCTATTCGACCGATCAAATGTAGGAATTTATTTTTCCTCATTCAAAGCCAATTTTCAGCTTTGAGACGCGTATCCAATGGCCAATGCTGGGTTCTTGGCGGTTGTAATTCAATAAAAAATTCTACTGTTATTTTTTTAATAATATAAGATTAAAATTAAGACAATTAAAAGATTTAGAGGACAAAATGTAATAATTTTTAATTGAGGGAGGTAAAGTGACATCCGTCATTGGGTAAAGCCTTAATTTTATTTTATTTTTTAAAATTTTATAAAGTTACCCTTAACAAATATTGGATGAGAAAATGGCACTGATTGGCATCCGATTGTTATTAGGTCCACATCAATATTTGAACAAGTTGTCTACAGAAGTTGCTTTTTCTTCTCTCTTTTTCCTATTTTTTTAAATAAAAAAATCTTTTTCTCTGTACTCCAATTTTTTTTTTTTTTTGAATTTTTTTGTATTGGTAGGCCATACTTCACCTTGACCTTTTTTCGGGTATTTTAAAACCTGCCTCTTAACAAATAAGTTGGTTTTATTAATTACAAAAAATGAAATATTGATTTGGTTTTTTGCATCATCCATATTGCTGCAATGACGTACGCTGTGGGTGCGTCAATTATCTAAAATAATAATGGCTTCCTTTGGAGTGCTAAGTTTGGGGTTTTTTAAAGCTATTTTAGTTAAAAAAAATAAAATAATTTTTTTAGTCTAATAAGATAAAATATTACATTCAATTCATAATTATTACATTTTTCTTCTCACAAAAAAGTTAAAAAAATTAAAAAAATCAAAATCCTTCCTAAACGAAAATTTTTAATTCTAAACTAAAATAACCAAAAAAATGAAAAAACAAATCTACTTCCCAAGCCAACACAATAATGGTGACAATTAAATGCTTTATAATAAAAAATAAAAAAAAAAACCTACGAATTTTGATCGATTGAGACCCCTTTGAAAAGGAAAAAAAATAAAATAAATTTTTTAGTCTAATAAGATAAAATATTACATCCAATTCATAATTATTACATTTTTCTTCTCACAAAAAAATTAAAAAAATTAAAAAAATCAAAATCCTTCCTAAACGAAAATTTTTAATTCTAAACTAAAATAACCAAAAAAATGAAAAAACAAATCTACTTCCCAAGCCAACACAATAATGGTGACAATTAAATGCTTTATAATAAAAAATAAAAAAAAAAACCTACGAATTTTGATCGATTGAGACCCCTTTGAAAAGGATATCCCTCCAACCCAAGATTGCTAGGCATTTGATTCATGTATTTGGCTAGTAAATTTGGATTGGTCATATTCAATATTGATATAATACAAACAAAAAATTAAAAAACTAACATGCATAGACAATTAATCCACACTATTACCTACTTTTTGTGCAATTTTCTACGCACTAATTCTGTGAACGTAGCAAAGCTAGATAAAAAAATCTCCATCACCGGTTTGTTATTTTGTCCATTCTAACCTGCTTTTTTTGTAAGGATTTGTGATTGATTAAATTAGATATGCTTGAGTAATCCCTTCTCATAATGAGAATGTATATTTCTATTTTAGATGGGTCAAAATGATTTTTAAATCAATTTATTAAATAGGCCACGCTTAGAAATATTAATTGTGGCTTAACTTGGCTCGATTATTAATATATATAAAAACAGTCCCACTACGTAGTCCGAATTCATTAGGGCTCGACTATCCCGAATTTCAAAACGACATCGTTTTGAATTTTTTTTTCCTTTTCTTCTTCCTCTCCCTCTCTCTCTGCTCTGCTCTTCGAAAAAATCAATATCAAAATCAAAATCTAACTCAAAAACTCAAAAAAGAAGGAACATTACAAAGCCACAGCATAACATTACAATGTTATAATTAAATTAATTTTAATTCAGAAAGAAGAATACCTCCTGCCATGATGTTCAAGCCTTTGAATCTTTATCCTTGAATGATCAAATCTTGAATGTATAAAGAAGCCCACTCGCAGAACACTTTTACAGAACCATATGAGAAAAGTGAAAGGGACAGAGTTTCAAGCCTATTCTATACACAAAACAATGTTTATGTTTGATGGCTATCACATGCATATATATAGATAGGCTTAGACCCATATCCAAGTGTAACTCTTTGTAACTTCCCACCATCAGGGAAGTTATAAAGTCCCATGAAACCACCATATGGGATATTAAACAGACATCAGTTACTCATTAACCATTAAACTAATTAATTAGCCATTAAACCAATTAATTAGTCATTAAACCAATTAAATATATATATAATAAATATATATAATATAAATAAATAAAACATGTGGTATATGGGCCACTTTATGGATATTCTTACATTCTCCCACTTGGTACATATAACATACGTTGTTGACTGTCGGGTAACTACCAAACTGATGATGGTCATTAAATAAAAATACCCAAACCTTAGAGGTATAATACACGAATCATGGTGGTTATACTCTATCAATTACGTATTTCCTTCCATGTATTACATTGTATCACACTCTCAACTTAATATGGTGTCATTCTTTATGAATAACTTCTAATAAGTTATTCTGGGTCCAATGATCCCTATGGATCAATAGTCTTAATGGACTGCATAGCATCACAAATACTTTAGGTGCACAAAATGATGTTTTTCACTAATAATAATCAAAATGTCATGACAAAACAAAATAAAACAGCAACTAGAAAAATTATTGAGCTAACCAATCAGTCCCATGCCCTCAACATGTTTTGAAAACACCTTTACAGAAAGACCTTTGGTCATGGGATCTGCAATCATCATATCGGTACTAATATGCTCAATGCTAACTTCTTGCTTCTTAACACGGTCTCGAATAGCAAGATACTTTATTTCAATATGCTTGCTGTGGCTATCACTTTTGTTGTTGTTAGAGAAGAAAATTGCAACTAAATTATCATAGTAAACCTTTAATGGCCTAGAAATTGAATCCACAATTCGAAGCCTTGTGATAAAATTCCTTAACCAGGAGCCTGTGAGGTTGCTTCAAAGCAAGCTATAAACTCTGCTTCCATTGTTAACGATGCAATTGTCGTCTCTTTGGTGCTCTTCCATGAAACAGCACCGCCTGCTAGCAGATAGACATATCCTAAAGTGGATTTTTTGGAATCTTGACAACCCGCAAAATCCGAGTTTGAATATCCAACCACCTCAAGACAGTCAACATGCTTGTAAGTAAGCATGTAGTCCTTGGTTCCCTTTAAGTACCTCATGATTTTCTTTGAAGCCTTCCAATGTTCAATTCCTGGATTGCTTTGGTATCTTCCAAGCATCCTAACTGCAAATGCAATGTCAGGTCGTGTACAAACCAAAGCATGCATTAAACTGCCTACAGCAGACGCATAGGGAATGCTAACCATTTGTTCCTTGTCCAAATCATTCTTCGGACATTGACTTAAACTGACCTCCTTAACCAAACAGCCTGTGAGGTTGCTTCAAAGCATGTTATAAACTTTGCTTCCATTGTTAACGATGCAATTATCGTCTCTTTGGCGCTCTTCCATGAAACAGCACCGCCTGCTAGCAGATAGACATATCCTAAAGTGGATTTTTTGGAATCTTGACAACCCGCAAAAACCGAGTTTGAATATCCAACCACCTCAAGACAGTCAACATGCTTGTAAGTAAGCATATAGTCCTTGGTTCCCTTTAAGTACTTCATGATTTTCTTTGCAGCCTTCCAATGTTCCATTCCTGGATTACTTTGGTATCTTCCAAGCATCCCAACTGCAAATGCAATGTCATGTCATGTACAAACCAAAGCATGTATTAAACTGTCTACGGTAGACGCATAGGGAATGCTAACCATTTGTTCCTTGTCCAAATCATTCTTCGGACATTGACTTAAACTGAATTTGTCACCCTTTAAAAGGGGTGCTGCATTAGGAGTGCAATCACTCATCTTGAATTTCTCCAAAACTCTTTCAATGTAGGCTTTATGAGATAGTCCTAATGTCCTTTTGGACCTATCTCTGTGAATCTCTATGCCAATGACATAAAAAGCTTCACCCATATCCTTCATTTCAAAATTTTGAGAAAGAAATTGTTTAGTATCATGCAACAATCCCAAATCATTAGATGCAAGTAAAATGTCATCTACATATAGAACTACAAAAATGTATTTGCTCCTACTAACCTTAAGGTATATACAGTTGTCCACAACATT